GCACCACCACGCCTGGCTTTCATTACAGTTTAATAAAAGGTCCACAGTGTTACCTCTGCTATGATCTATGAGTAGTAATGATGCCATTGTAATAATAAGTGTTTGTTAAGCACATACTGGGATTCAGGCATGGGCTCAGTGCTTGATGTGCAGTATCATTATTCATTATCTCATACTGTGACATGAAAGGTCTCATGGAGGACAGCATGAAGTTTGAGCTCAGCTCCTCTCCACACCTTTAGACCTCTGTGATATCAAAGTTTCCAGAAGCCCTTGGTCTTTGTAGTACTGGAATCACCCCGAATCCTCGTCTGTGCTGGGCAGGTGCTCTGCTACTGAGCCACATCCCCGGCTCCCCGTCCTTTTCTTTGGCAGATATTCAGGGTGGCAGAACACTGTGCATGTGGCTGACAGACCTTCAGTGACCTCTTCAGTGTCTTGGGCATTTTGCTGGGCACCGGAATGGCAGGGTTTTAGTAAGAGTCACTCCCCTACATTTAATTCTAAACAGTACCCTACTCTTAGTCCTGCTTCCATTGTACCAAGAGAGAGAGAAAAGAAAACAAAAACCCAGGAGATTGCTGATGCTCTAGGCGGGAGCATGTGGGTGTTGGATCTCCTAGCCTGTGCTTCTGGTCACCTTCACTCTACTCCCGCCTTGTTACAAATTCATAAACATGCACTGTACGTTAGGAATATAATTTAGGTCAGAGTCATTCTGTGACAAGCATGCATGTTAAGAGCCCCTAAGATGGCTTGGCTCCCTGTCAGTCATTCCTGTCAATTACACCTAGAGATTCCGGGGGAGACGTGTAAGCAGAGGTCCCTGGCCTTTTAAACTCCAAAGCTGGGCATGGTGGTGCATCTCTGCAATCCCAGCACTCAGGAAGGCTGAGACAGGAGGATCACCAGGCACCTGTACTTCATAGTGAGTTCCTGTCTCAAAAATAAATAAATAAATAATAAATTCAGAGAGCCATGCTTTTTTGTTGCTGTTGCTACTTTTTTTATGTGTGTGTGTTTACACTTTTGTGTGTTTTGACCTATATGTAGTGCTTTTGTCACCCTGGCACCTTTTTCTTTTTTTTTAACCCCAGCACCTTAGCTTTTGTCAGCAAGGACTTGCCTGAGCACAACTTCACGTGATCGTCAATAAATGTAGCTGCTTGCTACTTAACTACTGGGTGCACACTAGGCAGTTCTTTCCTCGTGATACACAAGAGCATGGATTATGCGGACCCACTACGTGGCAACAGTTCCACTGTGCAGTGTGATGAGAATGGGTGGGAGGAGACCCCAGAGGGAGCGGGATAGGTAGCCCCACCCATCACAGGCTCCCTCCATCCAGATGTCCCTGGTCCTCTGCTCCTGCGCAGTGGGGTGAGTGTAGAAGGGTCCTGAGTGGCAGGTGCTGCCAACCCTTTGTTAGTCTGTACAAACCCACCAGGAACAAAGGATAGGCCAGCTCTGTGGGTGACAAACTCTTGAATCCCTTGATGATCAGGTTCCAGTGGAACCTTTTGTTGGTGTGATAATTACCGATGCCGAAAATGTAACCCTTCTCTACTGCTAGTCAGGCAATTCTGATCTTTGAAAGAGGGTGTCTATAAAGCAGTTCATTACTTCCAGTAAAGCACACCATGTGGGAGGTTCAGAGACTCCATCATGTTTTCTGTTTTTGTGTCCTCAGTCTGTGGGGCCCTTGGGCCTACCTCTTTCAGTGCGGTCCACAGTAGTGGCTAGCCATCCTAAACCCAGCCTCTTAGGTTGCCTCTTTCTCCTACGCTTGTTTAGACTGCAGAGAAACTCACGTTCTGTTTTTTGCTGGCATTGGTCATCTGAAGATTTGCAGATGGCTCTGACCTGCCTGGTGAGGTAAACTAAGAGCAGACACTGCCTTCTAGGCCCTGAGCAACCCTATAGGATCTAGCTGGTCCTGCAGCTTATTGAAAATGCAATGCTGCATTTCTCAACCTGCATTCTCACATGAGAATTGAAGCAGTGCTGGGCCAGCCAGGCCCTCTGTATCTCTCCTAGGTGTGGAGGAAGCCTCTGCAGGCATGCTTTGTTTTTGCCAGTGTTTCCATTTGCCCGAGGCACGTGTGTTAGTGAAAGCGAAAGCTTTCTGCTTCCATCCTTTGAGCACCCTTATAGCTGCCAATGCTCCCTGATAAGCTCCTCAGCTCAATTAAACCCTCAGACCCATATTCCAATAAGTATCTGGGTCAGATACACCATTTGTCAGAATTAGGCTTCCTAAGTTATAACTGAAATACAATGAATAGTACCTTAAGGTCTATAAATTTTAATGTATATGTGCAGTATGCCAGTAAGCCATGATCATAATCAAAAGATCATAATCATGTTCACCATCTACTAGAGTTTTCTTGTGTCCCTTTTATAGCCTCAACACCCCCAAGTGATCACAAGTCTGCTAACTTTTCGTTTTCTAGAAGAATTATATAGAAATGGGGTCATACAGTATGGGTTCTTTGGTTTGTGTGGCCTCTTTAAATAGTTAATTTTGAGATCTATCATGAGTTCTGTGCGTGCCATTTATATTAGCACATTTCTTATCATTGCTGAGTACTATTCATATTCTGTTGTATGAATATAATAGTTCATGGGTTTTCTCCAGTTCTAGGCTATTCTTGGGTGGCCATGAACGCTTATGTGCAAGCCTTTGTTTCACTTGGTGACTACTGAGGAATTGAGTACCTAGATCATATGGTCCAGGAATACTAACTTTTTAAGAAACTGCTACTAGTTTTCCAAAGTAGTTAAACCATTCTATATCTCCACCAGCAAGGTGTGAGAGTTTGGTTTCCTTTCATCGCCTCCAGTGCATGGTATTATCTTTTTTATTTTACCCATCCTAGTGGGGGTGATAGTTTATTTTGCATGTCACTAAAGCATCTTTTTATGTGTTTGAAATATCTTGAAATCCTTAATTATATGTCATGATTTGAGAGTTCTTTATTTTGGATTCAAGTCTTATCAGATATGATTTGTAAATACTTTCTTCTGGTCTGGTTTTTTTGGTACTGGGGTGGTCTGTCATTTTTCAAAGTGTCTTTACAGTTGGGGCCAGGGATTTAGCTCATTGACACTGTGTCTGCCTCGCGAGTGCAAGGTCCTGAGTTCAATCCCTGGTACCAAAAAAAAAAGAAAAAGTGTCTTTACAGTTGATCTAGGCTAAAAGACTGAGAAGAAATTAACATGTCTTTACAAGAGTAGCTATTTTGGCCTGTCGTGGTAGCGCACCCCTTTAATCCCAGCACTCGGGAGGCTGAGGCTGGAGGATTGTCATGAGCATCACTACAAGTTTGAGACCAGCCTGGGCTGCATAGTGAGTTCAAGGCTAGTCTGAACTACATAGAGAGAACTTGTCTCAGAAAAACCAACAAGAAAACTAAATAAATAGGGCTGGGGATTTAGCTCAGTGGTTTTGCCACCTGCTGCACAAGCTCAAGGACCCGAGTTTGATCCCCGGTACAAAAAAAAAACAAAACTAAATAAATAACCAAAGTCCTATGTAATAATTTCCTTATGGATCATACTTCTAGTGTTGTATCTAAAAAAGTTTACTTAAACCAAGGTCACAAAGGATTTTTCTTAAAGTTTCTTTTAGAAATGTGAGAATTTCAGGTTTTAAATTTAGGGTCATTATTAATTTTGATTTAATTTTGTATGTATTATGAGATTTGGATTAAAATTGTTATTCTCTATATATATGGATTTCCAGTTCAGAATCTTTTGTGGAAAATACTATCCTCTTTCTGCTAAATTCCTTGGAACCTTTGTTACAAATCACTCATTTTACATACAGAGAGAAATAAATCTCTTAACATCTGGAGCCTGACAAGAGGTAAAAACCACTGAGGAAACAAGTGAGAACTCATAATTCCAAAATGGTGATGGGGCTTGGCTTCCAGGTGGGATTTTTTTTTTTTGTGGAGACAAAGTCTTTCTTTGTAGTGCAGGCTGGCCTTGAACTGACCATGTAGCTCAGGCTGGCCTAAACTCTCGGCAATCATCATCCCGCCTCAGCCTCCTGAGTGCTGAGTTACAGGTGTGCGTCATCTCGCCCAGCTTGTTTGGATTTTTGAAGGGTACCAAGAGAGTGGAACTGTGGATGGATATCCGAGGGCGAGTTGAAAAAATAGTCCCTGAAGCCATTCTTGGTAGTGCTTTCTTCTCTCACAGAACACGGGTTGGAGGAGACTAGAGCGTTAATAGCAAGCACCTTCCAGAGGCATAGGAGAGACATTGACTCATCACATCAAGTAGGTGCTTTAAGACAGGGCTTCCCCTCCTGGACTTCTAGCTGCGGGGGTGGTCGGACCTCTGAGGAGGGGACTGAGATTGAGGAGCCTCCCTCCAAACCCCTATCATGTATGGAATCCACATTTGCACAGGCTCTGGAAGGTTCTGGGTCAGCATTTTCAGATTCAGAGTAAGCATGACTGAGGCAGCAGCTGAATTGGCCCCCGACTGCCACAGTCTAGACCCCAGTTCTGAACCCGCCACTGTCAGCGCAGAAGAGCCCTCCCCAGAGAGATACCTGGTGTCTCAGAGGCAGCAGGCATGAATGATACAGGGCTGCCTTGGGGAGCTGCCCCTGGCAGAAGTCACTGTCTCTGTCTCAGAGTAGATAAGGCACAGGTAGGAAGGTGACCTGCCTCTCATGAGGGTCCTCATCTTTCCGGGGTCTCTCTCACCTGGCTGGGGACTGGAAGTCCAGCACTGGGGTTTTGCAGGTGCACAGCTCTCCTGGGTCTAGGCTGAGCCTGTTCTCACGGCCTGGGCAGAGGTTGCGGCCTTGGCACTGGGCTGCAGGCGGCTGTGTTGCTGTCCGGCTGTGTTGCTGTCCGGGACAGGCTGGATTGTTTGGGGGAGGGAAAGCTGACTGTGGCTCCCGTGCGTGCTGCAGATCCAAGTCTCGTGTTACAAGCCAGAGCACCCTCCTAATGCTCTGGGAAACACTTTCTGTTTTCCAGGCACTGCTGGCAGGCATGCGGAACCGGGAGAACAGCTCGCCCTGCCAGGGCAACGGAGAACCAGCCGGCAGGGGCAGGAATGTGGGCTCCGCATGGCTGGGCGAGGAGGAGCCCTGCAATGACACGACTACCCCTTCCTACAAGAAGCCTCTCTATGGCATTTCCCACAAGATCATGGAGAAGAAGAACCCACCCACGGGGGACCTGCTCAGCACCTACGAGGTCTTTGAGAAGCCAAACCCCAGCAACAGCCCCTCCCCACTGCGCCTGCTGAACGAGCCTCAGAAACGGGACTGCAGTAGCACTGGGGCGGCCAACGACGGTGACCCCAATATCTACTTCCTGATCCAGAAGATGTTCTACATGCTCAACACACTCACGTCCAATATGTCCCAGCTGCACAGCAAGGTGGACCTGCTTTCCCTGGAGGTGAGCCGCATCAAGAAGCAGGTGAGCCCCTCTGAGCTGGTGGCCAAATTCCAGCCACCCCCCGAGTACCAGTTGACCGCTGCTGAGCTCAAGCAGATCGTGGACCAGAGCCTGTCCGGCGGTGACTTGGCCTGCCGGCTGCTAGTGCAGCTTTTCCCCGAGCTCTTTAGCGATGTGGACTTCTCCCGAGGCTGCAGTGCCTGTGGCTTTGCCGCCAAGCGGAAGCTGGAGTCACTGCACCTGCAGCTTATCCGCAACTATGTGGAGGTCTACTACCCCTCTGTGAAGGACACCGCGGTGTGGCAGGCTGAGTGCTTGCCGCAGCTAAATGACTTCTTCAGCCGCTTCTGGGCCCAGCGGGAAATGGAGGACAGCCAGCCAGGAGGCCAGGTCTCCAGCTTTTTTGAAACTGAGCAAGTGGACGCCAGCCACTTCTTGGACAACAAAGACCAGGAGGAGGCCCTGTCTCTGGACCGGAGCAGCACCATCGCCTCTGACCATGTGGTGGACACACAGGACCTCACTGAGTTCCTGGATGAAGCCTCGTCGCCAGGTGAGTTTGCGGTCTTCCTCCTCCACCGGCTCTTCCCGGAGCTCTTGGACCACCGGAAACTTGGGGAGCAGTACAGCTGCTACGGTGATGGTGGCAAGCAGGAGCTGGACCCGCAGAGGCTGCAGATCATCCGCAACTACACGGAGATCTACTTCCCCGACATGCAGGAGGAAGAATCTTGGCTGCAGCAGTGTGTCCAGCGCATCAATGATGAACTGGAGGGCCTGGGGCTGGAGGCGGGTAGTGAGGGTGAGGCCCCGAGGGATGACTGCTACGACTCCTCCAGCCTCCCGGATGACATCTCCGTGGTCAAGGTGGAGGACAGCTTTGAGGGCGAGCGGCCCGGCCGGCGCTCCAAGAAGATCTGGCTGGTGCCCATTGACTTTGACAAGCTGGAGATCCCGCAGCCCGACTTTGAGGTGCCAGGCACCGACTGCCTGCTCAGCAAGGAGCAGCTGCGCAGCATCTATGAGAGCAGCCTGTCTATTGGCAACTTTGCCTCCCGCCTGCTGGTGCACCTCTTCCCCGAGCTCTTCACCCATGAGAACCTGCGCAAGCAGTACAACTGCAGTGGCTCCCTGGGCAAGAAGCAGCTAGACCCGGCTCGCATCAAGCTGATCCGCCACTATGTGCAACTGCTCTACCCCCGGGCCAAAAATGACCGTGTCTGGACCCTGGAGTTTGTGGGCAAGCTGGACGAGCGCTGCAGGCGCCGGGACACCGAGCAGCGCCGCTCCTACCAGCAGCAGCGCAAGGTGCACGTTCCGGGCCCCGAGTGCAGGGACCTGGCAAGCTATGCAATCAATGCTGAGAGGTTCCGAGAGGAGTACGAGGGGCCCCCGCTGCCCCCAGAAAGAAGCAGCAAGGACTTCTGTAAGATCCCCCTGGACGAGCTGGTGGTCCCCTCGCCCGACTTCCCGGTGCCTTCTCCCTACCTGCTGTCGGACAAGGAGGTTCGCGAGATTGTGCAGCAGAGCCTATCTGTGGGCAACTTTGCCGCCCGGCTCCTCGTCAGGCTCTTCCCTGAACTCTTCGCGGCCTAGAACCTCCGGCTAGAGTACAACCATTCTGGGGCTTGCAACAAGAAGCAGCTGGACCCCACGCGGCTGAGGCTCATCCGTCATTATGTGGAAGCTGTCCACCCCGTGGAGAAGATGGAGGAGGTGTAGCACTACGAATGTATCCCCAGCATCGACGAGCGGTGTCCCCGCCCCAACAGGAAAAAGTGCGACATCTTCAAGAAAGCCAAGAGGTGGAGAAGTGACAGGGCTGTGGGCCGCCCAGAGCCTCGGGATCACCGAAGCCTGAGTGCTGGGCACCGCTGGGTCCGACCGTCACTGTGGAGCATGTGTGGCACCCACAGGCAGGTACCTTATGTCCACGGGGAGTGGCTTCCCACCTTTGCACACATAAACACCCCCACCCACAAGAAAGGAGCCTTGACTTTGATTTCTCATACTCTGACTTTCCTGGGTCCCCGGTAGCATTGCTGGAGCTTAGGGGGCCGAGCCGTGGGGGGAACTGGAGGAGCAGGGTCCTCTCCCTGGCTGTGGCCTCCCCAACCCCACAGTGCAGAGTGCAAGCTTGGCAACTCCCGCTCCCCTCCACACGTTTTACATCTTCCATTTTATCCTCCCACCCTTTTTTAATTAAACTGAAACTCTTTTTTAAAAAACAAAAATCATTGGGCTCTTTTGGGGCCATTTTAGGGTAGGAAAAAAATCTTTTTAAGTATGTGAGATGAAGTACTATAAGATGAGTTAGGTGCTGGGATTTTTAAAGATGATTTCAGATTTATGAATTTTGTAGAAGTGCCATGTTCATACATGATGGGTAGTCACAGCGTCAGGTGGCAGAGACTGAGCTCACTGACCTTGTCTTTAACATCGGCTTTTGGGAGAAGTGAGATGGCATGTGGAAGGCGGTAGAGGAGATGGGATGGGATAGCGAGTGCAAAGCTTGTTCTGACCGTGTTTTCCTTCCCGCTGTGCTGCCCAGGCAAGTCGTGTCCATGTGGCTTAGTGTGCTGCTGCCACCTGGGTAGTATGTGGTGCCCGCTCCATAGATGAGAACACTGGATGATAATGTGAATGTAGGTGGACTGGGAACACATGTTCATGATGTCTTTGAGCTGTGTCCTTCTGAAGCCCGGTTCCCTTTCCATGTGTGGGTGCTGGTTGGAAGGGCAGTCAGGTTTTCTTGGAAAACAGTGTGTATGGGCATTTGGCTTCTTATTTGATTTAAGGGTGGGCTCCTTTGGGCTCACCAAGAACTGTTTGTTCTCCATGTGGGTATTTGTATGAAATCTGGTTCTAGGTGCTGCGTGGTGACTTCCCTAGACCTGTGTTAGCTTCTCCTGTAGCAGGACATCCTTGTTCCTGGGGGTCTCTTGGGAATCCATGGTGTTGGAAGGATATGGGTCATCTCAAATTGGGACTTCCTTTCCTCCCAGGCCCACTGAGAACTTTCTCAGTTCTCCTCAGAACCCTAAAAGGTTCTGCTGTCCTGCCCCTGGCCCACCCCCTGGCTTTGAGGTATACGTCTCTTCCCTCCCCACTGACTTGGAAGGTCAAACTGCTCCAAGCCAGCAGCTTGCTCTCAGGAAGGCTAACCAGGAAACCCCTTGACAGGTTGTGTCCTAAAAAAAAGTACTGAACCCCCTTCGGGAACCCCGGGCTAAAGGGAAAAGAAAGTCTAACCCAAGTTGACCGCATCTTGCCAGAGACCCTGAAAATGACTGAATCAAACCAGATAGTCATAAAACCCTTGTGGGAGGTTATAGACTTAATAACCTGTTGATTTAATATTTTGCTACCCTAAAATGCAGAAGTAATAGAAATAATCTGTGAACTTCTTCCATACAGTTAAGAATATTAGTTCCAGTGACTCTGATGACATAATTTGGCCTGCACTCAGTGAGCATTTATATATGTCAAACAGTTTTGAGCAATGTAAAGTTGTTATTGAATGTCATTACAGATTATTTCTGCTGAAACTATAAACGTGTATTTTTGAAATCAAGAAATGCATAGGGACTTGATTACTCTATGTCACTTACCCACACGTGGAACACACATAAGAAGCTTCAGTGAGAGGAAGGGGTCCAAGTTCTGCTTTTGTGCCTGGATAGAAAGGACTGGGGCAGCCAGGAGACTCCCCTTTCTCCCCCGCTCACTTGGGCCTTTCTCTTTGCCTTAGTCTCCCTAGCGCGCGTACACACACACACCCCTACCCAAAGATGGCTGTGGCCCTGTATGCTTGGCTCTGCTGGTTGGGGGTACCATGGAATTTTTTCTGGACTCTAGGATATATCCACAAGGATTCCAAGCCATGTGAAAATGACCCTGCTTTCTAGAGTAGAATGTGACCCTGCAACTTCAGAAGCACAATCATTTATTTTTAAAAATTCTTATTTAGTCACATTAGAGAAGTCAACAGGTTGTGAGAATTAAATGTCTCTTTCCAAACTAGAGCATGTTAAAGTTTGAGAAACTGCGTTTTGATGGTTTCCTTTACACCTTTCCTGTGTAGGGCATCTCCCCAAACCCTGTGACCCCCTTTCTGTGAGAGGGGTGGATGTGCTCTGGGAGCTGTTTCCGGTCCCCTGGTCTGTGTTCTGTCTGTATGGTGCACTCACTTCACCCATACAGGCGGCTCCGGTGGGCATGTTTTTTACATGAAGCAATAGAAGTACAAAAATGCTTATTTTTTTCAGAATCTAATGTGTTCCATAAAATCTGTTGCTTCCCTACATTCAAATTCTTTGATTTTACTTGTTTGTGTTTTGGAATTTTTTCCCTTATATCCCAAGGACTAAAGACTTAGCACAGACGCATTCTGAGGTTAAGTAAAATAGTAAGTCACAGTAGGTGGTGTAGCGGTCATGGTTTTCTGTTAGTAAGGTGTTAAAGAATGTCTGAGGGTAGTCATGAATGTACTGTGTTCGAATCCTGCTTTAGTTCTCGTGCCCATGTCTACAAGGTGACAAACACTTGACAGGGAATAAAGTGTCTGTTGTCCTGAGTGCTGGTGTGCCCTTCCCCTTCAGTCTTGACCCCAAGCGTTCCTTTTCTGTTTAAGTTGAGGATGGGGCTACCTGCAGCAGTCACCAACCAACCGTGGGATCTGCTCCGTGGCGAGGGGGGGTTGGCTGTTTGGATGGTAAGAGTGGAGGGCCTGACTCACCACAGCACAGCCCCGAAGAGCTTTGCTCCGTGCCCAGTTGGCAGGGCCTTGAGTCCCCTGGGGAGGCTCCTGGCTGGCTTTGGAGACCATGATCCTGAAGTGTGGGTGTGGGCCCCAACGACCATCGCTGCCATGTGGAAATACCTGCCTCGGTAGATCCAGCCTTAATGCTTTTCTGACATCCTAGTAAGAGCAGACCCTGCACAAAGTGGATATCAGAGTTAATACTGTGAGGAGACAAAATGCGAATAGTTTTACCAAAGATAATGAATTGTCGAATACTGTCTGCATTTTACTATTGATTTGACTGCATCCTTAGAAAACTGAATGTAACAAAAACCCAGGACATTTTTGCAAATTGTATGCTGTCTAGCAACTTTGTGTGAATTTTTATACAAGCACTGTTTTATGAGTTATATAAAATGTTATAAAAATAGAAAACCTGTGGTCTTCTAAGGTCTTATTTCCGTAGAGCACCGGCCTCCAAACAGCCTTGGTCTGTTGTCTCTGGCTCCTCCCCTCTCCCTGGGCAGAATGTGGATAATTGGACGTCAGCCTCTACTTCCCCACTCTGGGTTCGGGACTGCTCACAGCATTTTAATGTTTGACTGTAGCTGAGTGACTGAGAAGTCACCAAATAACCCCCACCGCCAATCCTGTTCTACCCAGGCTGCTTCCTGGCTGAAGAGTGGGAAGCTTGCTTGATCTTTATTTTCCCTCCTGGTCGGGTGCCAGACCAGCCCTGCCGCACACCTCACGTTGATCCTGCCCCTTTCCATCAAGGATCAAATGGGGTTGCATTCCTCAAAGCTAACAAAAAGATGCACGTTTTCCTCACACTCTTTCCTTTGGCTAGTTATAAGTCAGGAACTTCGAGTGGCATTTCCTAGTAAAAATAACAATGTCTACAGGTGTCACAGAAAGTTTTTGGCCCAAGGATCACAAGATGTAGTTTGTGGCTCCCTGATTGGAACACTTTCATACAGCATCTGCTTATTTCTGGCATTTTGGTGCTGGGGATTGAACCCAGGGTCTCACTTGTTCTGCCACTGCCCCTTATTTTTTGACAGCCCCCAAAGCTACAGCATAGCCCTTGTTGACAGGTCAGCCACATCTAGGGGCCAGAGCCCCAGGTGCCAAATCCACCAGCTGTTGAAGCCAGAATTGAAAGTCTACGCACACACCTTTTTTTAATTCTTTAAGCTCCTGGCTGTAGGAATCTGTTTTCTATCAGAAAGGTTCAAGAGTATTTTAGTATGAGTGCATACCCGTGTAAGCGCTGCTTCTAAGAGGGCCACACCATTTGGGGTCATTGCACCAGAGCTGTGCCATGGCTCTCGGGCCTTCAGGGAGGGAGGGAGTGTTCACTGCCTGCTGGCTAAAATGACGCCTAGCAGTGAGAATATTAGTTGTCAGGAGACCCGGGCCGGAAGGATGCTTTGTAACCCTTTCCCAAGCCCTGTGAGCTAAGTTCCATAACTATGCCATGATAACGGGGAGGAGTCAAGGCCTGCATGGCATATACTGTGCCACGTAATTCCCACACAGTACCATGGCACTGTTCAGTGGTAAGGAACCAGAGTGAAGTAGGTTTCTTGTTCAAGTTCACATAACTGGCAAATGGTGCCGGCCTTTGAACCTGTTTGTCTCCACACCACTTTTCCACATTACACCATTTTAGGAGCTAAACACCCCCGGAGGCGCAACAGGAGACCATTCAGGTCCAAGATGATTTCAAGTGGTGGGCTCTGGCACTAGGCCCTCAGCCCCAGCTTGTCTGATCCAAATATAGGTGTGCTGGTTTTATAGTTGCACTGGGTGACAACATTGTAGTGGCTGTGGGCAAACTTGGGTCTGGGTTTTTCTTTTTTTTTGGTACCAAAGATTAAACCCGGGACCTTGTGCTTTTGAGGCAGGCAGTGGAATCACTGAGCTAAATCCCCGGCCCTACATGGTCTGTAACAGTCAACTTTTTGAGACTGAAGTGGGTGCTGTAGGTGGGGTGGGCTCCCTGGGAGCAGAGGCTGAGACTGGCTGGCTGAGGGCACGAGGGAGGAGAGACCCGGGTCCCTGGGAGGCCCTGCAGTGTGAATTTAGGTCAGAACTGTTGCCAGCTGAGGCAGAGGGGCTGGCTGCCCATTGTCAGGCCTTCCCCAGGGGAAGGGTAACTAACTTCAGGGTGGCTTTCTTTGGCTAAGGGGAATGCTCCAGAAGGATGGCAGAGGGGACAGTGAGATGCCACCGACATCCACTCAGGACAGGGATGAGTGTCACCTAGCCTGTCCCATCATAATTTCTGGGCCTGAAGCTCAGCAGTGTTGAACAAGCCCCCTGGATTCTCGTGCCAGAAAACCTTGAGACACTCAGCTATTCATTCTAGACTATGCACTGTGTCCTTGACAGAGATGGAGAGCGCACAATGCCATGGCCTCCCA